CCCCCAAAACCCCAAAACCCCAAAACCCCAGACATTTAGGCCTCATTGAATGATTTAATCTTCAATATCTGGGTGAAGTGACGACCTATAGCTGAGCTCATTCTCTTCAATCTCATATTCAAATGCAGAGCTGGGCTTTGGCTTCTTGGGTAATTTAGCCATCGTTGGCATTTTATTACCTGTTAGGCTAGAAATGTTAGAGATTGGTTTTCTATAATCCTGAATTTCATCCAGCATCGATTGCTTTGCAAAGAAAGAGGCTTCATTTTGAGCAGTTTTAGTGTTTTCATCAATAGGTGAAATCTCACTCTCTCCTTCCTTGTTGAGTAGCTCGATGATCTCCTTAGTCTTGCTATCTAAAAGGCTCTAAAAATTTAATTACCGAGGATCATTTCCATTCGATCTTCATCCATCTTATTGAGGGAATCTTGCCTGGCTAAAGCTTAAAAAGAGGAGTTACAAATTTGTTGATCAACTCCTTCCTCTTTGGTGTCTCTTTCAAGGGCCTCTTTGTATTTCTTCTGGAGGTACTAGAATTATCTACCTCTGAATTACCTTATATTTAGCTTTTTGTTCAACAAGGTCCTTCTTGAGGATATTCAGATCCTTGATTTCCTTGTTGAGGATTTTCTTGATCTCAACACCGTAATCTTTGATTTCTCTGTGAATACGTTCATTTTTGTACTTTTCGGAGGTCAATTGGTTCTTTAAGTGGAATATCTCCTGGGACAACTTCTGGTTGATAACTCTTAACTCGCCTAAGGGTTGTCAATGAGGTTACCATATGCATGAAATTCATCTGTAGGTTAGGAAAGTAAATTACCTTTGTGGTTCTCTTTTATAATCTGGCGTAGGGAGTTTACCTCATGTTTATAGGTCTGCTGCAGCTCCTTGATGCGTTCAGTCTTGATCCTGTTGTCTTCTTCAAGGTTATTTTGAATCAATTCTTTCCTTTTGGTACACAGGTTGACTGACTTTCTTCTCAACAGCATATTGTTGGTAATGCTTATTTCATTCTTTTCCTTTCTTTTAGCCTGTTCAAGTTGTTGGGTGTGTATTGTTGCTAAAGGTATTTTGATTGAGATTTACCATTTTTAATCCATCATTATAGGTCTTCTTGATTTCTGGGTGAACTAGCTCTAGTTGTTCCTCTATTTTTAGTTTGTCTAGAGGGGAATTAGGATGAAGTATGTACTAATGAGATATTTTAAGTCTATATCAGCATCTTGTTCTCCATCTTCATTTATTTCTTCATAAATTTGGGTATCTTCTGTCTCATTATGAGGTTCTTCCTCTATAGTAAGCGGGAGATCGCCTGCTTCCTCATTTCCTATCCCAAATAAAGCTAAAGAATACCTAGTTGAAGACTCATTCCGCTATTTTTGCGTATATCTTGAGTTTTTCTTCTATTAGCTCCAAATTTGACCCCTAATTTGAGTTATATCTGCTTACCGAGGATTTTATTTGTCACTAATTTTAACTCTGAAATTAGAGTTTTCAGAGCTAGATCTCTTATCTACAAAAATAAAGGCAAAGGATTACTCCAAACGACTAATTGGGGCATCTCATCGCTATAGGGATTACACTAGACAGTACCTATCATCGTCATCAAACTCTTCTGGGTATGAAGACATCTTTTTACTGACTTCAAGTCTGGGTAGTTCGTCTTCTGATGACTCTTCTAAAAATATAATTTATGGTCTATCTGCAAACTGTAAACCCTTAAGACTAAGTTCAGAGGTTGTCCGCCTACGCTCTGAAGGTCTTAAAACACTTTTAAAAGTGTATTTTAGAGTTTTCAACATTTTTGGTATAAATTTTAGTACAAAATCTAAGTGATTTACCCATATCCAAGATCTCTTTTTCTTCAGACATTTTATATTTTGAATTTAATTCTCAATTATCTTGGAAATTTTTGGGGTTTTGGGGTTTTGGGGTTTTGGGG